TGGCTCCCTCTCCCTGACCACGCGGGAACCCGCAGGGGACCCCGCGGTGTTTGCCCTCCTCGACTCGGGATGCAGCCAGACGCTTATCCGCCCCGATGTACTGCCTGACACCGCGGTGCCCGAGGGGGAGATGCAGCTGCGGTGCGTCCATGGGGATGTGAAGACCTATCCTCAGGTCCGGCTCCCCTTGAGGGTGCGGGGAGTCACCCGAATGATGCGAGTGGGCGTGGTGCCACACCTGCCATACCCTATGGTGCTGGGTCGCGACTGGCCAGGTCTTACAACTCTCATTACAGACTTACCAGCGCCGACCGAGCCCCATGTGGAACTCCTGGGGGAGGAACTCCAGGCAGGCCGACCGCAGGGGTCGCTCGACCGGGAGGGCCCCGCCGAGCGCGACGCATCTGACCCGGCCGACCCAGGGCGCTCAGACACGGAGGATGTGCCGATTGCACTGGACTCGGCGGATTTTCCCCGCGACCAGCGGGAGGATCCCACCCTGCGGGAGGCCTACGTCCAGCTTGCTTGTGTTGATGGGACGGTGGTGGATCCACAGAGGGCAGCACACTGGCCCCGGTTTGAGCTACGAGCCGACCGGCTCTACCGGGTCGGGCGGAACCCGCAGACGCAGGAAGAAGAGGCCCAGTTGTTGGTACCCCGGGTCCATCGACGAACCGTGCTGAGGTTGGCGCACGACCTTCCTGCCGCCGGGCACCTCGGGCATGAGAAGACCCTGGCCTGAGTCTTGGCCCGCTTCTTCTGGCCCGGGGTGTACAAAGAGGTCAAAGACTATTGCCAGGCATGTCCAGCCTGCCTGCTCGCCGCAGCCCCCGGGGTGCCGAAGGCTCCCCTCGTCCCTTTGCCCGTGGTAGGGACCCCCTTCGAAAGGATTGCCTTGGACATAGTGGGGCCCTTTCCGCGGAGCGCGGCTGGATTTCGATATATTTTAACGATCAAGGACTATGCAACCCGGTTCCCCGAGGCCATCCCCCTTCGAAACACCCGGGCCCGCACAATCGCGAACGAGTTGGTTCGGATTTTTGCCTGGGTGGGGCTACCTCGGGAATTACTGACAGACCAAGGAACGAACTTTACGTCCCGATTGCTGCGTCAGGTCTGCGACATCCTGGGCATTCACAAGCTGCAAACTTCCGTCTACCACCCCCAAACCGACGGGCTGGTCGAGTGGTTCAACTGCACCCTGAAGGGGATGCTGAGAAGATTTCCACCGGCGGACATGAAGCACTGGGACCAGCTCATCCCTCTGCTCTTGATGTCGGTACGGGAGGTGCCACAGGCCTCCACGCGATTTTCCCCCTTCGAGCTCCTGCAATACGTACTCCGACTTCAGGAGAGACTCACGCAGGTGGGGGCCTTGGCTCAAGAAAACATACAGGCGGCCCAGGGAGCGCAGGAGCGAGGGTATAACCGGGGAGCCCAGGAAAGAGGGTTTGAACCCGGGGATCGGGTGCTGCTGTTACTCCCCTCCGAGGGGTCAAAATTGCTGGCCC